CGGCGGGGCGGCGGGCGGAGCGGAGCGAGCCGAGGCGGGAGGCGCGCGGCTACCCCGGACGCACAGCCCGCAGCGGTGTCCGTCGGGAGCGGAGCTCGGCCAAGCCGCGGGGAGGATCGCGCAGTAATTGGATTTTGAAAGTTATTTAAGCCCCGAAGTAAAATACACGGCTCAGCCGGGCGCGGTAATAATCCATTTAGCCGTAACCTAAATCCCTGGGGCCGTGCAGTCGTGCAAGGGAGCAGCGCCTCCGCCTCGCCGCCGCCGCGGGACCCTGCGCGGAGCTGGCCAGAGCCGTCACCGGGCTACGCGCGCGTCTCCTGCATCGCTGCTGCCGCCGCCGCCGCCGCCTTCTCCGGGGAGAGCAGCTCCGGAAACTTTGAGCCGAGAGAAGCGCCGTCACCACTCCGTGAGCGCCGCCGCGTCGGAGCCGAGGAAGAAAGTCGTGGAGGTCCGGCGCGGAGCCGCTTTCCTCCCTTCGCCGCCCTCCTGCCCCACCGAAGGGGCCCCGCCGCCGCCCTCTGGTCGCTGATGCCCCAGGGGCACCGCGCCGGCCGGCTCTGAAAGACTCCCCGAGGCTCCCGGGCCCCCGGCCGCCCCGGCGATGCGGGCTGCAGGAGAATGCGGCGGAGCGGCCGCCGCCGGCTGCCCCTTGCTGGGGCTGGCCGCGCTGCTGGCCGCCCTGCTGGGGACCCCCGCGGGTGCCACGGCACAGCAGTACCACGGCGAGAAGGGCATCTCCGTGCCGGACCACGGTTTCTGCCAGCCCATCTCCATCCCGCTCTGCACGGATATTGCCTACAACCAGACCATCCTGCCCAACCTGCTGGGCCACACCAACCAGGAGGACGCAGGGCTGGAGGTGCACCAGTTCTACCCGCTGGTCAAGGTGCAGTGCTCGCCCGAGCTTAAGTTCTTTCTCTGCTCCATGTACGCGCCGGTGTGCACCGTGCTGGAGCAAGCCATCCCACCCTGCCGCTCCCTCTGCGAGCGGGCCCGTCAGGGCTGCGAGGCCCTCATGAACAAGTTCGGCTTCCAGTGGCCAGAGCGGCTCCGCTGCGAGAACTTCCCTGTTCACGGTGCGGGTGAGATCTGCGTGGGGCAGAACACGTCGGATGCCCCACCAGGACCCGGTGGTGCGGCGGGTCGGGGGGTCACTGCCCACCCCACTGCTGGATACCTCCCTGACTTTCTTACCCCGCCACAGCCACCCTCTGGCTTCTCCTTCTCTTGCCCCCGGCAGCTCAAAGTGCCCTCTTACTTGGGCTATCGGTTCCTGGGGGAGCGAGACTGTGGAGCCCCCTGTGAGCCAGCCCGGCCCAATGGGCTCATGTACTTCAAGGAGGCAGAGGTGCGATTTGCCCGGCTGTGGGTGGGTGTGTGGTCCGTGCTTTGCTGTGCCTCCACCCTCTTCACCGTGCTCACCTACCTGGTAGACATGCGTCGTTTCAGCTACCCGGAGAGGCCCATCATCTTTCTCTCGGGCTGCTACTTCATGGTGGCAGTGGCCTACGCAGCAGGTTTCTTGCTGGAGGAGCGGGTGGTGTGTCTAGAGCGCTTCTCTGAGGATGGCTACCGCACTGTGGCCCAAGGCACCAAGAAAGAAGGCTGCACCATCCTCTTCATGATCCTTTACTTCTTCGGCATGGCCAGCTCCATCTGGTGGGTCATCCTGTCCCTCACTTGGTTCCTGGCTGCTGGCATGAAGTGGGGCCATGAGGCCATTGAGGCCAACTCCCAGTATTTTCATCTGGCTGCCTGGGCTGTGCCCGCTGTCAAAACCATCACCATCTTGGCCATGGGGCAGGTGGATGGGGATGTACTCAGTGGGGTGTGTTATGTAGGTATCTACAGTGTGGACTCACTGAGGGGCTTTGTGCTGGCGCCCTTGTTTGTGTATCTCTTCATTGGCACTTCCTTCTTGCTGGCTGGTTTTGTGTCCTTGTTTCGCATCCGCACCATCATGAAGCACGATGGCACCAAGACGGAGAAACTAGAGAAGCTGATGGTGCGCATTGGTGTCTTCAGTGTCCTCTACACGGTGCCTGCCACCATTGTTCTGGCGTGTTACTTCTACGAGCAGGCCTTCCGTGGCACCTGGGAGAAGACGTGGCTCCTCCAGACCTGCAAAACATATGCTGTGCCCTGTCCCAGCCACTTTGCCCCTATGAGCCCAGACTTCACTGTCTTCATGATCAAGTACCTCATGACCATGATTGTTGGGATCACAACTGGCTTCTGGATTTGGTCTGGCAAAACCCTTCAGTCCTGGCGGCGCTTCTACCACAGACTCAGTACCGGCAGCAAAGGCGAGACGGCAGTATGAGACCCCCCTGTCCCCTCTGGCACACACACACTCACACATGCATACACGCAGAGGAGGCAGAGGAGACGGATACTCAGCACAGGAGTAGGGCAATGATTCCCTGAAGAGGGAGGAAGGGAGGCTTTTCTAAACTTTTTCTTCCTCAAGGAAGGTTTGAAAAAAAAAATAATCAATGCATAAAATATCAGTCAAATTATGTGCAGTGGTGCTTATGACTAGCTAAGTGGGAGAGGACAGAAAAAGAGGCCACTGCTGGGACAGGAGAGTCCTTCTCCCAAAAGTCTCCTTACTTCTCTCCTTCTACTCCTGTCGAGGAAAAGAAGCCCCAACCCAACTAAAATCATCCTGCCTTGCTTTGGACAAGAGGGAGGGGAAGCCAGATGTGTTGAGCCACCCCTGCCGAGGAGTAGCCAAATGCTCCCTGAATTGCTGGGGCCGAACTGCAGCGTGGGCAGGGTTCCTCCCGAGCCTGAGCTCGCTGCCTGCTCCTTCCAGCTCGGCGGAGCCATCACGTGAGTACTGCACAGCCGGCTACAGCCCGATCGTGTGCTGGGGAGATGCCTCTGTTCTGTCAGCTCACAAGTTCCTTTTTACCTCAGTGATACATGGTGTAATTGTTTTAAAGTAAAAATTTGGCTCGATCTGTTCTTGCTGCTGTGGGGAAGGAGGGGGTTGCTATTCCACACCCTGAAAAGAAATGACTTGTTGCTTTTCAGCAGAAGGCTTTTCCCCCTTGCCTTTGTTCTAGGAGACAAAGGGGGAAACAAAAGTGTTTTCTATGTAGAAAGGCATAAGCATGGGATCGGTTTTTATGGGCAAACTAACAAAAAGAAGTCGTTGAGGTTCACCCTTGGATGTGAGGAGCTCGCAGAAATAAACATTCCTTTTATGAAAAAAAGGAGGAGGCAGGATGTTTTCCTACCGTTCAATATGGGTCACTTTTCTAAGCTGAAGGAAATGTAAGATTTAGAGGGCAAGAAGAGCTTACCCGAGAGCACCTGCCAAAACAAGAGCCATTAAAATATGTAATGTAAAGATAGGATTTTTTTTCTTCCCATAAACCTGGTTTATTTCCTGCTTTGCAGTGAGCTCACTGCAGAAAAAGTCAATACACAGCCGGATTCTGGGGACAGGAGGAATCGTTTTGGCTCACGATGGACCCTTTGCCTGCTCCTCAGGTTCCCTGAGCTGCATGGCAATGATTCTTGGTGCAGGTGGGGGGGCTGGGGTTGGGGTTTAAAATCAAGCAGTTACTGCAAGTGAGGAACCTTCTCATTTCTGCTAAAGTGCAGCTGGTTAAGTTTCCAGTGATCACGTCTTGGAAGGAAAAGCATTCAAAAATTTATCATCAAATGCATTCTTTTTGAAATGTGACAGATTTTTCTATTCTGAAAATTTTTATGTTGACTTGTTCATATTTTATTTTTTACATACTACTTTACCTTTATATTCACTGAAGGGTTGTTTTTATAAGTATATGTGTGTGTGTATATTCTTGCCTAAGGATAAATTAGGACATTCTGGATTTTTAGCAAGTCTCCACCCTATAGCTGCTCTTCATGTTTTTTGGGGGAAAGTGTCTAGAATGAAACTTTAAAAAGAAAAAACCTGTTCAGGGTGAGGGGGCAGACTGCTGCTGTCTGAGGGCATACCAGTAGTCTGAGCATGAGGAATGGGCCTATCAGCCAAATCCTTCAGTAGATCTGATGTCAGACTCACAGGGCTTGGTTCGCCTTTTATAATGTGCACGTGGAAGAAAAAAACCAAGTGTGTCAGACAAGTGCAGTATGTATATTTTGTAAATCTCAGTTTTGTAAGAAAATATGTATTTATGTTTTTACTTGATTTTTTTTGAAGGTCTGTATGAGGCCCTGCTTCACCCCATGTACAGATCACTAAATAAATAATTTTTAATACGAGGGCTCTAATGACGTTCTTTCCATCTTTGAATACTTCACAGGTTTTAGAACGGGGGAAGCGCTTGAATAGTGGTGTCTCCCACTTTGTTATGGATAATGCAAGAGACTTTTCCATGAATGCAGACTGGAAACTCAGCTGTGGCTTGAAACTGTTCTGATTACCAGCCCCTCATAACAGGAGAGCACATTTTGAGACAGCCGGTTTCAAATGTCTGCCCTGATTTGAGGTACTTGCATCCTAGCCAAGTTTTCTTCCAGTCTCTGCTTCTAGCTGAGGGCAAGCTGATAAACCAGTTCCCTTATCTAGAAAATAAGGATAATACTCTCTTCCCATTCCAAAGAGACTTAAGATTGAGAACTGGAGGGTGCTACAAGTGCTGTAAATTAAGTCCTCACTTTGACGGGTGGAGTGTAGTAAGGAAAACACTAAGGACTAAGGACTAGGTCCTTTTTAATGGCTCTCAACGGGGCAGTATCATGAACTGGTGCTTTTTCTCCCACAGCACCTTTGCTCTCTGCAATTTTGTTGCAGTGAATTTTACTTTAACAGCTAGCCTGAAGCCTACATTATTTCTTATCACAGTCATCTGAAAGCTTCAGTGGAATGGTCTGTTTTATTTAATTTTTAAATTGGAATGAATGTTTAGATCTCAAGCTGTGTTGCTACAGTCATGGAAAATGCCCCAACAAACAGAATTGTACACCTGTGAAATGATGATACTTCACAGCATTTCTTTCACAAGGATTTCAGCCTACTGTCTGCATTCATCACACTTCCTGTACCTTCAATTATGCCAATACTAAAATTTAAGTTACGGAACAGAGTTAGATCTAAGGTGCCTTAGCTAGATGCCATCACAGCAGCGGTGGTTCACTGCAGCATTATTTCATTTACTAAGCATAGTGTGTAACAGTTCCACTTTGAGGCTGCTATTTTATTTGGACACTGTGCTCTCAAACTTAACCTTTTACTTTTACAGTGTATGAACTACTGATTTAAAAGTTCTTTTAAGAGCTAGCCCCATTCATGCTGCCTCTCTGGAAGAGCCACATCTTTTATTTGAAAACACCTCTTGCTGTTCCCCAGAACTGCTCACTTGTCAAGTTTCCTTTTTGAAAAGACCTTTGCATTCCTGCCAGTCAGGCTGCTTCAAACTGCTCCATGACATGAGCTTGCTGATCATTGCTGAGGGGGGTTTCATTCCACTCACTCGGGAAACCTGAACCTTTCTATAAACATTTCCCCCCATTAATCCATCAGTGCCGGCCAGAATGGCTGGAGCAGCTTGTGCTGTGAAGGACTGGCAGCCGCCAGGAGCAGTGGTGTGACTGACACCCCTGTGCCATGCAGCCACAGCTGCATTGCTAAACATGCAATCAATTCTTAATACATCAGGGCCAGCTACGCCTGTGATCTGTGCAGGGGGCCTGTCCCACGGGCCTCCGCTCATCCGCGCTCACTGCATGAGAAACCGTTCACACGTGATCGATATTTTTTTCTCCATATGTAGAAAAACTCTATATAGAGACTTTTTTTAGTTTGTGAGACATTTATATCTGAAAAAAACCCTCTCTATTTCCACCAGAAACCATTAAAGCTGAATGCTTTTATTTTAGTATTTCCTATTAGCTACTTCCAGATTTAAAGTCACTTACAAAAAACTATCCAAATCCTGGGATTTAAGATAATTTTTAAAATTTGAAATTGTTGGTGAAATTTGATGCTGATATAAAGTAGAAGCAACTGCTATTCACTTTTAAGCAGATGTGACTCACATCAAGACTGAATTTGCTCACAGTGGAAACAATTTGGAGAATTTCAAGTAGTGATGGTGTCTGGCCTTCTGTAATAAAAATGTCTATCAGCATTTTGATAACAAAGTAGCAGTTACTTTCATAATGGAGTACAATTCAAAAAATCTTTGTGAAGCTCTCTGGAAAAATGGAGGAAAAATAAGACTTTACTAACCTTTGATAATCACTGCAAAACATTTTTCTCTGACTAATGTTTAAGCCCACTTTAATTTTATTTAAATTTAAGAAAAGTTACCTCACCTTTACCTTTGGCACTTGTCTATGCAGCATTTTTTGGTTCACAATAACTTGGCAAGTAATAGTTATCATTGATCCATATCCCTGTAAGTGTACACCATATACTATATTTTCATGAAAACTATAGAAACACTGGTTCTTCAGTTTCAAAGACATTACTGTTACTTTCTAAAATGAAGGATTATTGTTTCAGGCAAGTTAAAGAGGAGGCTTCTACTGCTCTAGAGTTCATGAATAGCAGCAGCAACTGAATGTTTGTCTCCATGGAAAAAAGAGCTTTTGTAATACGTCAGTGATTGTTTGGGTTTATTTTTGGTGGAATACCCACACCGATGATTGAATGTTTTTGTCTAAGTACTTCACCCACAACCAATAGCTTTGCATGCAAGTAAAAACCACACATCTCAGTATTCACCAACTGGCAACAGTAAACATTACTTATAATTTCACATGGGTTTAGAAGCTAAATTACTAGCTTGCATTTCAAATGGCCTCTTTTTTTTCTTCATCTCACTCACTTCCTTCCAGACTTTACAGGTACTTCATATACACCCTGCATATACACCCTTCATACACGCTTTCTGCTCCTTTTTATTTTAAAACCATGAATCCAGCTGAAAGAAATTTAACCTGTTGCTTGGAGAGAAGATGACACTGTGAGTCTTCAGCACTCTAACTGTTCATTGAGGAAGACTATTGCCAAGCCTGCCCTATAAAAACCAGGATAATTTTTTTCATGCTAACATGTGTGTGGTTTTGGCAAATACAACACTGCACAAATATATAGGATGGGGGGAATAGACACAGTCATGGCAAATTCCCAAATGCCCCACTTAGAATCAACACATTTTGGCCAAACTAAAAGTAAAATATATACACCAGAGTTTAACACTGCTCAGACAAACCAGTTTGTGCTGCAGTCAGAGGAGGGAGGTACAAGGGAGGGTTTTGATGCTATTTAAACCCAAGATCCAAGATTGCCTAGTTCAGGTGGCTGGGCACTGCTTGTCTCAAAACCAGATCAGTGGAAATAAGGCACAGACAGCACTTTCTCCTAATTCAGGTAAACACCAGGCTCAAGCACTGTGCTACCACAGCTGCAGCCAGATGGGATTTGGCTGAATGATGCCGGGACAGCCCCAGACAAGGTCATGGGCACATACTCCTCTTGATCACCTGCTCCTCTCTGTACCCCCAGCCTACACATGCCAGGAAACTATGGGATAAATGAGAATATGGATAAAAAGCAGGAATAAGCAGGGCCTAGAGCACATTTTAAAATGACAACTATAAATTGGAGGAGATCAGTAATCCATACTAGTCAAGAAATCCTGATTACAAAAATTTGTTCATTTTGGCTGCCCCAGCTGTATCACAACCTGTCTTGGTAATAGGCAGCTCTTCACTTAAGCATGTTACCCTTACAAGTACACATAGAAGATCTGAGTCTGCTGCCTAGAGGAGTAGCCTATGTGAATAGACTTTGGCTGCACAGATCTTGGAAATTAATCTCGCCATGTGGCTGTCAGGGTAGCCACAACCTTACCATTAAAACTTCAAGCCCAAAGGGCCAGGGTAACATCTAGAAAGAAGAACAAAAAGAGGCCAAATTCTCCCCTACTTTGAGCTTTACTGAAGGTACTGAAACTCTAGCATTGTTCTCAATCCAATCTACAGGAAGGCAAAGTCATTCTCAGGGCAGGCTAGGAGATAATTTCCACTATGCTGTCCTTTTCCTCAGGCTAACATTGTGAGGGACTTGAAAAACTTGTGGTGAATAGGGAATTCTGCCAGGAGCTGCAGTAGAAGAAAAACATGTTATCTGGCCCAGATGGACACAAAAAGGTGTTCTAGCAAGTAGGCACTAATCTAAGATTTGAAAGACAAGTGCTTGATTACCTGCACAATCACAGATGGTGGCCAGATCACATACAGTCATTTTCCAGCAGTATTTGAGCAGCTAAAAATGGAGGCAGGTTACATGGAAAGCACTTTTGGTAAACATTTAAATTCCCAGGTGCGCATCTAGAAAAATCTTGTCTCTGCCTCTAATTCCTTGCCTATAAAATTGGAGCAGTGACACTTCTCTATATTATAGGGATGTTGTGAGAATGAATACTCTCAAAATCAGAAGAAATTTAATATGATTATAATAGAGTTTATATAAATACCCTGTCAGGCCTTTGTCCCACAGTCTGATGTTTTTCAGGTAGATTATGTTTTAGAGAATGCCA